ATATTACTTTATTTTCCGTTTTACAATACTCTTATTGCTGTCTTTGGAAGCCTTGTTCCTGGAACCAAGTTGTCTATTAGTTTATCTCAATTTCAACACTAAGTCTAGCATTTTTATTTAATTTATTTATTATTTTGGATCAAATCAATTCACTTGTCTATAAACCACATTATAAATTTAACTCTATCGTTTTACGGATAAACAACAGTAAAATCGGTTCAAATTAAATTCTCAAATGTAGAGTGACACGTGGAACCGGGGACACACGGAAGACAACCAAAATCGAGAACAACAACTTCGGTTGGCATCGGGTAGACCCCGAAGGGAACATTGCTAAAGAAGGCAAACAAATATTTGCCACCGGAAGACATTCAATGAAGAATATTTCTCAGTATTAAATACACAATTTGTTATAGAGAATTTTGGCATTCATAGTCTGCCGTTACATATTCATCCATGGTCTCATTATTATCATTTAAGATGGGCTTGATCCAAGGACCTTGTTCCCTAGGTATAGCTATAAATAGTGACTTCAACAGCCATTTTAAGGCACGAATATCCTGACAAACTTATGCTACACATTATTTCAAGCTTAATATTACTTTATTTTCCGTTTTACAATACTCTTATTGCTGTCTTCGGAAGCTTTGTTCTTGGAACCAAGTTGTCTATTAGTTTATCTCAATTTCAACACTAAGTCTAGTATTTTTATTTAATTTATTTATCATTTTGGATCAAATCAATTCACTTGTCTATAAATCATGCTATAAATTCAACTCTACCGTTTTACGGATAAACAACAGTAATGTAACTTATCGGACTGGAAAATATTTCAATCGATCCATTTTACTAACCGTGGTCACATTAAATGATCGGTTTAAAATACTTGTCATTTTGCAAAATTAACATAAAATTAATTATTTTTTTCACCTTTACCCTTATTCAATTAAATATGGAGAGAGATTAATGTGGCAAAATTAAGAGTAGTATTAAATTGAGGCCAACCAATAAATAAGGATAACTTACTCAAATTATTCTCGTATTTAATATTTTCTTAAGGGGCATGCAAAAAGAAAACATGACAAATAATATGGATCCGGAAGGAATAATACTTTAACTTGTTTAAAATACACCCCCTATATTTTAAAATCAAACACTTACACCCCTAAATCATAAAAATCATACACTCATACCCCGTATGAAGTATATCTACAACTAAGTATATTAAAATATAATTATTAAAAGTAATTTAAAATTACAAAGAAGCCTCTTAATTAATGAAAATACTACATGTATTAAAAACTTCATCTAAAGAAGTAAATTTAAGATAAATTTGAAGCGGAAGAAAAATTAACTAAAATAACAATAAAAATTTTCTATATAATAAATTATTATAATCAAATAAAAATAAGTAAGTAGCTTGCTTGTTTAAAGTGGAAGTGAAGTTATTACTAATAGTTGGTATATCTTATGAAGTAACTTATGTTAATTTCTTATTTATGAGCTTCTCGTTTCAAAAAATATTTATCCTCTTTTTTAATCAGAGATGTAAAAAAACAGTTTCAAGAAAAACAGTTATCCTTTTTTTAAATTTCATAAAATAAATAAATTAAAAATTATTTATAATTTCACTTGTATTTTAATAATTATATTTTAATATACTTAGTTGTAGATATACCTCATAGGAGGTGTATTCTATATTACATATATATGGTGTAAATATTTGATTTTAAAGTATAAGGGGTTTATCCAAAACTTAGTTATATTATAGGAGGGTTTAGCATAATTAACCACAGTTTTTATTTCAACTAGGCAATTGTGTGAAAAAAGATCGTTCGTTTTTGTTATTTAACGAGTCTCTCGCGTATTAGTTGGTCAAATTTTAAGAAGTAAAGAAAAAGAGCAATAGTAAGTATTCAAATGGTTTGTACGTGACATGATGATTAACGTTATCTCATGGGATTCTTCATCAATTGAAAAAGTGAAGGAGTAATTTCTTAACTCTAAGAAGTCAAAGAGATTCATTAGGATTTACTCTATAATAAATGCAGAAATTCACGGCGTATTTAAAAGATTTTGACTGATAAGCAAATGGCAGAGACCAAATTTCATTTGGCAAATCAATAAATGCTCCACCCATCTTAAATAATTGCAATTTGTAGGAAAAGCAAAAAAAAAAAAAAAATGGGAAAA